TGATATAGTTTCATACAATTTGTTTAAATTTAAAGTAAAAAGGAAAAAAAACCTTTCTATGAGACCATTGTTCTCGTCACTGAAGATTACTTTGTGAATAAATATATGATCAACCTTGTATTTCCCTTTAAAAAAATATCTATGACGCGGATTAAGTTTCTCTCTTACGTTGAAGACATTACGTTTCTTGATTTTTATCAGTTGCTATTTTACAATGTATTTATAAAAATAATTTACTGAATCTCACTTGCTACAAATAAGGTTTATTAAATTATGCTTAAATGGGTTAAAAGTGACCAAGAAACAACTAAAAATATAGAAACAAACTCAATTTGAAAAAATGTGCACTTTTCTTTTTTATTACAACTGTTCAACTATCATTCTAGAGATTTTATCTTAAGTACTTTATATCCAAATTCAGCATTTCAGCAAATATAAAGGTTATTAAAGTAAAGGCAGGCCAGCAGCTGAACACTCCTTCAAACTTTATTTTGAAAAAAAAAATAATGAAAACCGAATACCGTTTTTTCATAGTTAACTGTACACTGAATTTAATTTTTAGTTTTGCATTTTTTACTAGATGTGTGGTAAAAAGAATTATAATTTTAAAAATTCGAATTTCCTGTAAACCGTAACCATATGAACGGAAATCGTTACCAAATGAATACTTAAAATACAAGCAAATGTGTTTTATTAACCAAACTGTTATTTTTTTTACCAGCAACGTCATTACCGCACAGTCCGGTTGTTTTATTCGACATTTTTTCCTTATAGTTTTACATTGAATCATTATAGCAAAAAACTGTCACCACATGTCCTTCTGCCGAGCATACCGTTTGCGAGAATGGAATAAAAAATTTTATAAGGGTTTTATATGGTACGGATTCAAGGATTCCGTTACTATTAAAATGGAAAAATGGCTAAATGAATGGTTTAAATACCTTATATTTTGGTTTTTATTCCCAGAATTAAGATTTTATTTCCCTGAAATGCAGTACGGCAGTTTTACCAGAATTATTTTCTCTGTAAACAGAGAGCTCTTTCATTGCTTCTCTTTTAATTGTATTTGTTTTTAATTGTTTTCTTTTTCATTAAGGAAGAATACGCTTTAAAACTACCTCTCTCTGAAGACTAGAATCTGTAAAGAAAGTCCAGGTTAGAACAGTTTTTAGCGTCTTCTTCGCTTGTAGTATACAAACAATATCCGATAGAGTAAGGAATAATAAGCAAGGCAAATTTGACCGTCATGTCCAAACTATTTGAAAAAATATCAGCTATGATAGTCAGGGTAAAAAATAATTATATATTTGAAAAGAAGGATAATTTTTATAGGAAAAAATCGCAAAAAAAAGTTATTCTGGCAAATACAGATATTTTGTTGAAAAATGAAAATTCTGCAGATACTCGGTTAAACACACATTTAATTATTCATTGTCTGAATGTTTCTTACAAATTTGAATTAATATTATATCTAAAGCAAATTATAAACATTATTGTTCTGAAATTTATACATAAAATGAATAAAAAAATCTATTTATATTTAAAACTAATAATTTAAAGATTAGTAAAAAAAAATGCATCGTTGAAGAGTATGCGTTTTCCCTAAAGGTAAAAGAATAAAATTTTATGTTGCTAAATATACAACTACTAACTATAAGCGACTAAACTTCAGTACTGTAGTTATATAAGAGGAAAAGAATCTCTTAAAAGTATTTCTAAAGAAAGTCATGCAATTGACTTTTAGTTCCATATTTATGCACCGCATAAACGTTGTTTTTTAAAGTGTAGATATGAAAATTTAATGAGTGCTGAGGTTGAACCTCTCTCGTATCATTTTAGCACAATGTTAAAAACTGCACACTAATATAATTTTTTTGTTACTCTCCATGTAGCTCTACTTTTTAAAAATAATTTGTTTTTCATTTTTTCAAAAAATTGCTTATTTTGCTGAATTGATTATTATCATTTTTTCCTTTTTCTGATAATCAAAAAAAGTTAGATTGAATATTTGCTTATGAAAATGAAAGTTGGTTTACATTAAAAGTTTCGAAGGATAATTCGATGCAAATTTTAATTATAGTAAAGATTATTTTTAACTGTAATGCTTATTTAAAACTACTTTTTTCGTGAGAAATTCTAGTTTCTAGAAAATGTACTTTTATCAAAAATTACAATTTCTGATTAATTTGAAGCTTTTAAAGTAATATAAATGAGCATGTACATAAATATCAAAAGAAAAAGAAAATTAATTTGAGTGAAGTACTTAAAATTTTGAACTTTTAACAGAAATTTTTTCTGAGTTTAATTAAAAATTTTATTATAGTAGGTATTAAATACATTATATGTTTTTCAGTCATTTTTTAAATACTTTTTTTCTTGCTAGTTAAAACATCCGATAAAATTATTTTTGTTCCATGAAACGCAGGAAACAGTATAAACAAAGATAAATAGTATTTAAAATTCAGGTAAATAATAGATATCGATTTTTGTAAAGATATAATTTTGATAACTAAGATACCAAGTATAACTGAAGACTTAATTTTATTGTTCTTTGTTAAATATGACAGATATGAAATTGAATTTATCACTTATTTTGATTAAAGATAGGCATAAACTGGCCGATACTCGTAAACTAATGGCGCAGATACATTATAAATTTGCAGATAAATTTCTATAAAAAAAACGAGAATGTCACTTGAATGAACCTTAACGTTTATTCAAGTGCTTTTATAAACCAATACTATTTTCGATTATATTAATATTTGTTAAGATAAATTTTATCGTTCAAATAAAAAAGTTTAATTCATTGTTCTGTTTATTCCCCAATTTTAAAAAAAAACCAATAAGACTATCTTTTAATAAAATGCAATTTTAGTAGTTTCGATGAAATAGGCTAATTGCGAAGTGAATATATATATATATATATATTTNTAAAAGATATATATATTATAAAACTTGTATATCCAGAGATGATTTTATGTAAAATATAATTTTAATAGATCTTTTAATGTTTTTAATATTTACTTCAAGAATGAATAAATATATAAAATTGATGGGCTTACAAATTTTACAATGTTTTAAAATAGGCCATTTTAAATGAAAAAACTCAGTACGTGATAATCCAATCATAACATCAAAAGCTATTAAGTTGGTCTGTTTTTATTTGACAATCCTTATTACTTAATACATTTTTCGAAAGCAATCTTCAGTGTTCATACTGTCTTTTATTTTGTTGCAAATACACGATTAAGCACATTCATTATTACTTCAGTAAAATTAATGTCCTTATTTTATTAACAAAATGAATTATGAATATGATATTATGAATAAATAATTATACATACAATTATACAAATATACTATTACAAAAATACTAGGAGCAACTTATTAAACTCTGAATTTACTAATTTAGCTTTGTAATACCAACTGCGTCAAAAGTCTGATTTTGACAAATCAATAAGACTGTCTCTTGCAAAATATAATGCATTTTTAAGGTAAATATATGGGTATTTGTTAGGTGTAAATGATGTTGAAATTGCTGTGTATTTGTAAAGGTTATATTTATTTCAAAATATAACTTACAATTTAAGGTGTTTATCTTTTAACCTCTAGGAGATTTTCAATTTATCAATCTTAGTGTTTAGAATTTACTTAAAAACAACTTAATAATTAGCAGCTAATAATTTTAATCCTTTTGATTACCATTGTAATGTTTTAATGACTTGTATACAAGGTTAAATATGAGGTATATCTGGCAAAGCTGTATTTATTTAGAAACATAACCTCACATTTCTATCGCGTTTTTTTTACTCCTGCTGGAAGTTAACAGTTTTCAACCTCTGATTATTTTATTTATGCTTTAGGTCATTATTTGTCCACGTAAGGTTTTAACTAATTGTTATAAGGTATAAATTAAACAACTTAGTTTGGTAATGAGGTTTATGAGGGGAAAATGAGGGTGAAATTGAAGTATGTTTGCAGACGTGGTATGTGTTTCAAAACATCTCCTCACATTTCCACTAGATTTCTATTTACAAAATCTAAACCTATAAGAAGTTGTCATTCATAAATATTAAATAATTTATACTACAACTAAGGTTGATTTTTAACAACTACTATTAACACCTTAGGTTGGCAATGATGTATTTTACGAAGTGTGTAAATGAGGTTAAATATGAAGATCATTTACTGAGGTTGTGCTTCCTTACTATGACGTGTTCAATAGTGCACAAAGGAATTGTTCATATTAGAGTATCACTAGCGGTATATGACGAATTTTCGGGCATGGGTTGCTATGCAATTTTAATCCTGAGAATGTGCCCTAACTTCCTTAGAAGTTTGTTACAACATTTATGCGACCTTTTGCAATCTATAAAGTTTTTAAACGACCAAGAAAATAGACTAAAAATGACATTTAAAGAAAGTAGCATACGGAGAGAAACCGATTGAATATTTGTATTTAGCGATACAAAAGTATTCAAGCACTAATAAAAACAAAACAATATGTATTTTGAGTTGCAGACAAGACTTAATACAGCACAATGTTCGGAATCTAATTTTTTACAGTATTTACAATAAATAAATAAAATAAACACTACTTTCACTTTTGAGAATCAAATATTTAAATCTTTTTTTTAAAGCAAAATAATCTGAATTTTATTACCAAGTATAAAAAAGAAATGTTTATCCGATAAATATCCTATTAATTTTGCAGGAAGTGACATTATGGGTACATTTTACTGTCTAATGTTCTATATTCCTGGCTATAATTATTAATTTATAAGAAGCATTTTTTATGAAAATCTAACAATTTTATTATAAGAATATGAGTTTTAAATAAACTGCAATTATAATTTTGATATTTATATTCAAATAAAACTTTCACAAGCATTACGTACGATATATAAATATGCTAGAATTTTAATGCAGAGGAATGGTGCTAAATTATTAGATATTTTATCAATAATCAAATGAATACACAATCACTTAAACTGCAGACAATAAGTATATAAAATGTTTATTTGTAAAATAATAAATAAAAACTAGCAATAAAATAATCTTCTTACTCTACACTCAAGACACTGAAAACTTAACGGCAGGAGTAAAAATAATTTGTCAACATGCATTGACATCAACAAAATGACAAAAGTGAAGTGAAGAATAACACAAATGAAAAGAAATGAATAACACAAAATGATATTCCAGTCCTATTTACAGATATTTATTCAACTCCTCTCTAATGATACCGATGAAGAAATAAAATGTGGGGATGAATCAATATTTCCATCTTTCCTATGAGTATAATTCATTAATGGATCTCCCATGCATGTTCTTTGGACCTTTGCATAATCCTTTCAATTCTTCGGGCTTCCTCTTATTCTTTATCCAGGATATTTCTTCGTCACATTCCATTTCAGTTTCTGGAAAACAGATGTAAATAAAATATTAAAACTTAATATTTATAATTAATAATAGTTTGAATTAAAACTAATTTAACCTTAAATTATAAAAGTTCAAATCAATCAGTAGCATAAACTGGATTTACATGGGTTCTTAGTCTCTTTTCACAGGAAACGAAAATGGACTGAAAGTTACGGATCACAAATATTTAAGAGAGGAAAAATCCATTTTCAAAATTTGTTGAAACACTACTAAGGAAAGCAGGATTCAAAACATCACATATTTTTTGATTTTCAGATGAAACAAGTAAGAGTTTAGAAGCGATTATTCGATACACCTCCCGGTTTTTAGCTGTCAACTAAACTGATTTGTTTTTCATACAATCATTCTTGCTATTCATTCGTCAAATTTAAATTTAAATCTGATTTTTTAGTTATTTAAATCTTATTTTATTTGGAATTAGTTAAAAAAATATTAATTTATTGTTAATAGCAGTTTTTTACAACTGGCACATAAAGGGAAATCTGAAATTAAGTTGAATGATCTAACTGCATAGTCTAACAATAAGTGCAGAAGGAAAAAAATAATCATATTCAACAATTGGTAGAACCTTCAAGAGGACACGATCACAATACAGTAATTGTATGAAGGATATTGTTACTTTGTTCTACTTGGTTTGGAGAAGATACGCAAGTTCCTTTTCTGATTTTCGATGGTGGTGTCCTACGATCTTACTCATTCCAAAGGTTTAGATCAAGGATCTCTACAAGTCAACTCATTCGATTAATTTCATTATTACCATACCAATCCAAGGAGGACTCGTTGACATGGCATAACATTATTTTAAAATACTCCCTGGTATAAAACGAAGTCTTTTAAAAATTTAAATGCTTTCTCGCTTTTAATAGAGTTCTTTAAAGTTCATAAGTGTTTTGAAACGTATGTAGCATCTATTCCAGATGGAAAATTTAATAATCAAGAAGGATATTTGTTACTCGTTGTTCATATCGTTTTCTACATAAATTCATTTAATTTTCATTCTTTTTAAGCACTGTTTTGGAATTTTAAAACTTATGTTTTTCATTAAAAACTTTAAAAATAGGATTTAGTCTCATATATTCTCTTACATTGAAGGAAAAGAATATATTATTCGAAGTTTCAGACAGTCGTAAAAGAATGTTTTTTTTGTCTTCAACGTACTCTTATATTCGATGAATAAAAAAGCAACTTAAGAGTCCAAAATTTTGTTAAATTCAAAACAACTTAAATAATTTAGAATTGAAAAAAAATATAGCCATTGAAATATTTTCGAGTCAGTAAGATATTTTTAGAATTTGCTAAATGTGCTTTGATGCCCTTAAATACACACACTCAGTCATTGCTATCATTATTTGAATATAGATGGTAAATATGATACAATTATCATGTTCGATGGTAAATGTGAAGTAACAGCCGTGTAGAAAGTTTCATAATGTAATCATTATCTGAAGACAATACATATGTAGTCTTGACGTAAAACGTGGATGTCACTGCTTTGATATATCTATAGATAAAAAGATATTGATATGATATCTGTTCTGCTACTCATTCTAAGTTGTTGAGTTTACATTTATTTTTCTAAAATGTGGAGCTATACTTTATTTGTTTTTGTCTAGAACTGAAAAAAAAAAATTGAGGCTTATTTTTTCATAATTAGGTGATGGCTTTAAAATTTATAAATGGATCTTAATGCCATTTGGTATTTAAGTGCATATAAAACGGTGCAATAAAGTCACACATAGAAAAAAAATCTATTTCTCTAAAGGCAGGATGAAACAAATAATTTTAAGATGCATCCTACTTTGAAAGTTTCATCTATGGGAAATAACAGATTCCCATAGATGATTCCCATAAATGATAATAGCATACCAATAATAAGATTATTGAACCACAATAAACCCTTATTAATAGGTTCATAACGGGCAAGCTTTCAATCAAGTTCAATTTTAAAACAATTATAATATTTTTTTTCCTTTTTGAAACCTAAAGAAAACCAAATAGTTTTATCATTCCAGGCTCAGAGAGTTCAATTTTTTAATTGCTTAGAGTTCTCAAACGAAGAATTTATTTTATTATTTGTAAGATTAAAAATTTATTAATACAATGTCCAGTATTTTAATATAATGCTATGAAAATTTATGACAAAAAAACAGATTTTATATTTAAAAAAATTTGGAAATAATTTGAAAAATTAACTGAAAATGTTTTTCATGTAAAAGATAGGCATATCGTGAATCTAAGTTTTGAACATCCTGTTGCCATTTATAACATTGAGAGTACCGAGAGAATATGACTTATGAAAGATTCATTTTGTGTTTGCTGCAGCAGCATATAACTGCTCAAACAAGCTCTAGTGACAGACGCAGAGATGAATTTTGCTTTTCTTTTTAAATCCTGATGGCTCTGTAAAATAGACTCCTTGACTGTTTTTCTGTCTCTCTTTGATATATTTTCAGTTGATGTATAAGTTGGGGAAATTATAATTGCTCAAAATTCTTATATTTGGAACAACATAATAAGTTGCGTTGATTGCAATGAAATGAATATAAAACAAATTCCTTTCTTACTAAATTTAAAGAAAAAAAATTAGTTCCATATTTTTTTTCAGAAATATAAATTCCAACAAAGCATTTTTTTCTTATCTCGATACTAGTTTTTACATTTTAATATTGTAAATGTTAGAAGATTAATCTATATATCAGCATTTCAATTCATTTTCTTTAAAAATAATTTTTGTAAAGCTTTGATCATTATGTGTTGTCATGCTTGGTTCTTTTCCTTTTAAAGCAAAAGTTGCAAAAGTTTAACCGTTGAGTTTAAACAGGACGCTCCAGGCTTCTAAGAAGTTCAACAAAAAACAACCAATGGTAGGAACAAATTAGTAGGGGATAGGAATTTGTGTAGATCAATTTTATAATATAAAGATGTAGTGTAACTTACCGAAAAGATAAACTTTTGTGAGTTGATCCCATACACAATTCCATGTTAATTCAGGTAAGGATCTTAGCGGATTACCAGATAATATCACTTCCTTTAAACTGGGCATCCTTTGGAAAAAATCTTTAGGCAAACTTGACAAATCATTGTAACTAAAATTAGAAAGAAAAAAGACTTTCATTACAAGAAGACAGTCATAAACTAATATTCAGTGCGTTACTTCTTAATCTCTATTTTATATTTTTAGATATTTTAGTGTTCAATTTGATCTAAATTGTGAGATGACAGAAAATAAAGGCACAAAATTAGTCAGGGGGATGACCATCATCATCATTGGACTGAAAGCAAAGGCTGGGCAGCCTTGATCCCAAGAATTGTAATTTTGGTCCTAATCCAGAAGACAAGGGAGTTCTGATTAAGGATCGGAAGAAATTTGTCTTGTGGGGACTTTTTGAGGGAGCTAACTCTCATTCGCGCTGCATAGACAGGAAAGGCTCCCATGGTTAGCCTGACGGTAAAAGGACTCTAACCTATGATCCGCCTACCACTTAGGATATTTTACGCAAGCACTGTGGTTGGCCCGAGTTGGATGCATAATTCGTATAGACGTGGCAGAGACTCGAACCCGGGGAAGGACTCCTAATTAAGGAAGAGGCGAACGCTCTATCCCCTGAGCCACCTCTACAATTTTTAAATGCAATCAAGGCTAACAATTATAATTATGGTGACTAATGCAATGTATTTAATTATACACGTCAAAAATAGTGCGTATATAAATATATAAATATTTAGCCTCGTTATGTATATTTTTAGCCTAGCTGGATGATCTACTTGCTGGATGTGCGAGACTGCTGAGACTATTTGGCTGCTAGGATTCTATTACACACACTATCTTTATGTGTATTCATATGAGTCACTTAACCTGGGGCAAGTTTGCTGAAAATTAATTAACTATCAGATATAATATGAAATTAATAATTTAATTGTAATCTGCCATATGAGAGGGTAGCCTTAAATATCGACATCTTTAATTTATAAATACACTAGTATTTTTGCATGCAAAGTGTTTTTCATCATTCTTGCTTATACATCCCATCTAAAAAACAAGTGTAAAGAAATTCTATTCCGGTTAAAATTAATTTTTAATTGAATCTCCACACACTGAGTGGTACAAAACTTAATTACTCTCTTAAAAGGGGTTTCAATGCTTGACATATATTTATTTATTTTACCTTTATTGCTCTAGGTGAGTTTACTTATCACTTTTGAGATCTACGGATATTTTAGGTGGCCCATAGATTATAAGGTGGAATTATAATATAAGATTATAAAGTAAAATTGCAATATTTCTTTCTTCAACACATTTACAGGAGAGATTCATACACTAACGATCAAACAGTCATTTGAAAAAAATCAACTGGATTTATTTTCCTGCACTTGTTAAGAGTAATTAAAAACCAATTATGCTTCTGAGAATTACATTATAATTCTTTATTACAACTCTAAGCTTCAAAATCACACGAATATATCAAAGTTTACATTTCTGGGACTTTAGTAAGTAAATGAAACTAATTTTACTTTAAAATTATTATTAAAGTTCATGCTCATTTTAAATTAAAAATTTAAAAATACTCAAAATGTTTGGTTAAAAATTTTAAAGCTAACGAAAATTTGATATTTTATAAAAATTTCTCATATTAATTTGGTTGTCTATTTAGTTCCGCTAACACTAAATTACTTGAATTTAAAGATTGCTTCAGCTAAAAAAAAGTTGTCAGTCAAGATTAAAATAGTTTAAAATATTTGGCTTAAGAAAGATCAAAGACTAGGAAAGTTTTTTCTAAAAATTATTTTTAATTTAAAATTGAGAACACAAGTTAGAGTGCTTAGTTTTTAGTTTCAAACCCGATCATACCACATTAAAGAACTTATACAGCGATGTTTATACGACTTTTAACTATGATCTAGAAATACATTTCATCCATAATTTGTAATTAGAATTATTCAATGAGTTTTAGAAACATACACAATTAGTATTAAAAAAAATTAAATTAAAAACCTTCTCGATATCTATAAAAATTCTTTGTAAAATTAGGAAACTAATACTTTGAAAACACTTTAATTTTAGATTTTTAAAATACTTTACTAAAACTAAATTTTAAAAATACATTCTATCAAATGTTAATGAACGATACATATTATTAACGTTTTTCTTATGCAATAAAGTTTATTTTTTCAAATGACATTAATTCAATTCACATTTCGCTTAGTTACTAGATAGATCGAAACAATTACAGCAATATATCTACTAAGGAAATCTAAAAAGTATTACAACAAAACTAGTTACCTTATATCTATCTTAAAAAGATGCGTGGCAGGATTAGGGAACATTGATCGTTTCACTTCTTTAATTCGATTGTCAGATAATGATATTTGTTCTAAGTACGGCATACTTGCAAAGGCATGGTCTTGAATCAAATGTATCTCATCATAATCTAACACTACCTCTTTAAGATTCGGTACTTTATCTTTCAGCCACATATCGTCAACTTGATTGATGTTGTTGTGCTGCACATTTAGGACATTCAATTTTGAGAGTTTTGCTATTTTAAATGTCTCTTTGCTCCTAATCATAGACTCTGTTTCAACATTTAAGACACTGAGGGAGGAATCAAGACCGGCAAAGGCTGGCTCGTTGAACTTCAAAAACGAATGACTTATCTGAATTTTCTTGATCTTCAGACCTTTGAAAAGGTTGATGGGTAACATTTCTTCAATATGTAGATTATGAAGCAATAATGTGTGAACTTCATAATCACCGATTATTTTCAAAACTCTCTCCAAAACGTCTGCAGAGTTGAAATCAGCGCATCTTACAAGAGAACCATAAGCAATCCTACCACATGTGCATGGTTTTAGATCTTCCATATATGGGCAAGTAATAGAAACTGAATTCGTTGCTGTCAGCAGCACCGCAAAAATGCTAAGTAGCATTAAAGTAGCCATGTTCTACAAATCTCTTCAAGCTCTTTTTTTTTAAACAACCTATCACTTTCGTGGCAGTAAAGGGAAATGATCGTTCCGATACCGGTTGGCTTTTATCACCTAGCGAAATATTGACAAGTGGCAACTGATAAGAACCGCTTTTAGCGACACTTTTGTTTCAATATTTAAAAGTAGCTAATGCCGTCTTCTTAAATGGCATATGATAAGCTTCTGACTTACCTGCGTTAAATAAATAAAGAAAAAAATGAATTACGTATAAAATATAAGAAAAATGATGAATGGTTGCACAATATTTGATCTCAGATTAAAGGATTTGATAGCACTCTGTGGATTTCGTGGTTTAAATACTGTTTAGATTAGAAATGTACTGGAAGTTTCTTTTAAATAAAATAGAAAACTGATTTTAAATCTTAATTTCTCCTAATGTTTATCTATGGCCACTAAATATGGAAAATTGTGGTAAACATCCGTGTGAGTAGAATATTGCTGCGCCAACCATATTTGCTCAGAAGCGTAAAGGATATTTAGTCCAATTTCTGCTCGTTTGTAATGTTTTTTTGTAGATTTGTAGATGAGTGCGACGGCATCTTTGCTTTTGCTTACAGCTCTGTATTTAATTGTAATGTTTTTTTTTCTCTCAGTAATGCCAAACATCTGATGGGTATGGTTTCCCCTTCTACGGCTTGTTTTGGGGTTCGATACTTCCTGACAAAAGTGTTAGGGGAAAACGGATTAACCTTTCCTCGGTCCGTTCTTGGTGGCTGGTAGTTTACTCTACTTTAATACTCCCCGTGGTTACAAATCCGAAAAAGTTCTCGCATAGTTGGATTCTTAATAAGAGAGGTTCGAGGGTTGAGAGAATACCATCACCATCTGCCTTCCGATCTGAAATTTAGTAGTGTAGTGCGTTACGCTGGTATTATGTTTTAGATTACCGTTTAGATTACCGTTAAGGAGGAATCCCAAACCATTACTAACTACCAAAGCTATATTAAAAGCCAAAACAAATTCTTAGACGTCTTTCTTTATTTTGAACCATATTGTCTTTTAGTTTAGAAGACGGTCTGAAAAGTTTTTTTCTCTCAGATTGCAGCAGATGTATGCAATGAAAATAAAATGATAAAATGAATTCTTCGTACAATTGATACAAATAAGCTGTGCAAATAATGTTTATTTAATGATACGTGAACTGATCGTTAAGACACGGATCCCAGCAGATCCCCGAAGTCAAGCATAACTGGCTGTAGTCAGTGTGCAGGTGGGTGACCACTTTGATCAGCCTGTCATGGTGCTGAGGGTACATGTGCGGTATTGGTTCTCGTTGAACTGTTCTACCGTAAAGGGCTAGACTTGACGCATAGATAGTCCGGCTAGTGAAGAGGGGTTGTCATCCCCTCTGCAGAGAACCAAAATTGTGATGTCATGCCTTCAGATCGTTGGGGATACTTTTAACGACCGTAGCTACTAACCTATTTCTGAGCTCTAGTGTGACGCAAGTAAATTACAACTACAACTTATTTGTTGATTTACATGCATATGCAAGTTTGTTCGATTAAATGAATGGTTTATAAATTCTTGCCAAGTACTAGAACAAACAGCACATAATAGAGAAAGATAGAGTAAAGATGCATTCAGGATCATGGTGGAATTCGAACCTGATGCTTCTACTATTCAGTGAGTTTTAGGAAGAGGCGATACCCCTCGTCGATGGAGGACTTGTAAATTTCTACTTTTTCCTTAGATGCTTCAATACCATTTTCTTTAAGTTTTAAGGTTTCTCATTTTAAATCTGATTTTTCTAGTCAGACTTCAGGAAAGAATTATTATCGCTAGTTGGATCTTTGCGTCACGAGCGGTTTGTTACCCATTCTAGCAATGTGGGATTCTCAACTTCAGTTACGGTCTATATTTGATAAGATTTTTTTTCCTGGTTAATGACGTCAGAAGACTGTCCACACTGAACAGTTTTTAGACTATATATGAATAAGATATAAGTAATCGCAAGAAAAATGTAGATGCCCCTTTTTGTTACGAGTTTTTCTTCCCCTAAAAGCGTAGGTTAATACAAAACCTAAATACAAAAGTTACGAAGCATAAAAGTACCAAGTTCGATCTCTGAAGGAAACAAAATATTATCCTTGCTCTCTTTATATCTTACGGATTGCCATTTTTTAGGGAGTTTATAATCATATTTTGATTTATTTTTCAGTCATAGTATCAGTTCATTCCTGATTATTCAAACGAATGCTTGATACTTCATTATTTCTTGACCTTTGTATGCAATGACTCACTTAATTGGACATTCAAATTTTTTATACAGCATTCAGTTTTGTTTAAATTTTGAAGCATTATATTTTTCTTTGCACCAATATCGATTTCAACTGGCATCTCTTTTACACATGCTTTGTAAAACAATTCTGCTAAAATACAGAAACGTGTGGTAAGAAGATACTTTATTTATGTCGCACTAGAGCTGCAAAATTGGGCTATTGGCGACGGTCTGGGAAACATCCCTGAGGATGATCCGAAGACATGCCATCACAATTTTGATCCTCTGCAGAGGGGATGGCACCCCTGCTTCGGTAGCCCGACGACCTGCACGCGAAGTCGAGCACTTTACAGTAGAACAGTTTAACGAGGTTTAACGAACAGTTTAACAGATACCGCACACCCTCGCAGTCTGATTCAAGTAGTCACCCACCCGCACACTGACCGAAGCCAGCGATGCTTGACTTCGGTCATCTGCTGGGAACCGTGTCTTAACGATCAGTCCACTGCGGCACGCTTTTCTGTGAAGTAAAGATGGTTTCTGTGCGATGTTGACCATATCGTCACAATCATTCCTTCGGTGTTGAAATTGTGACCTCTTAATGCCTAAGACCCCAAGACTTAGATAAAAAACATTTTATGAGTAAAACGAACGGAGTAAAACATTTTCACTATGGGTTAATCCTTGAGCAGAATTAACTTTGAACAGGGTTGACCTTTAAAAATAGAATGCAATTGTAAATAACAATGAAAACCATATATATTTTAATTGCAACTTTTTTAAACATTTGATAATGAGAGTTACAGAAAATTTTCATTCACACTAAAATATCCCAAAAAAAGATTATTGCAGAATAAGTTTATTGGTTAGAACAAGATTAGATGAGGGAATGATCATCCGTTTTTGATACATTTTCGTCTGCATCCATTTAGCTAGCCATTATTCTCGCATTTGGAATATATTATTAGAATCCTTTTCGAAGTAAAATTAAAAATGTATATATCGTAAACTAATGAGAAAATTGGAAACTGCCAATGTCACTTTGCAAAGACTGACTGCAGTAATTCTAAGAAAAGACGTCACCAGTCTGCAAAGAGCCGCATTTTTCAATTAGCCTTCGGCACATACACATGAGAAGTCGCATATTAACATTTAAATTAAGAAGAAACTATAGAAGTTTTTCAAATCCCGAAAGACGATATGAAAAATAAGATTTCCTGATAAAACTTTGAATTTATGCTATTGTTTATAAATTCCTTTCAGATTCTATTGGAAATAAAATAGGTTTTAATAAACCGGCCAGGTGGCCGAGTGGTTAGCGTGCCAGACTGCGAAGCCAATGGCTGGGGTTTCGAATCCCGCTCTAGGCATGGATGTTTCTCTCTCTCTGTGTTGTCTTCTGATGTGTGAATGTGTGAATGCGGCTCACCCTATGAACGGGTATTTGTGGCAGTGTGGCGTGGGTAATGTTGCTCGCCTCCGTGACTTAGGTTCACAGGTGCCCACTGGGTAACGATACAAAACACTTCCGGCATCTTCTAAGGCAAAAATCGAGCGTTCAGTGCCTGCCGTTATTGAAAAAAAAAAGATTTTAATGTTTTCAGTTATGTATAGAAATATAAATTAACTTGCTATTGTTTGCTCAGTTTGGCATCCTCTTGTTTTTTCATCGAATTCGTAATTTCTATTCGTTTATGCGATTTTTTTAATTAACTGGTGAAATCCATAATAGTCCGATATTTAAAAACATGATTCAGTCAATTTGTTTATTAACTTCAATAAACAATCTGTTTTGCGATTTGATTGCGAACTTAAACGCAGTCATTTGGTATGAACTCGTTTTTGTTATTGGACTCTATGTTCTATTAATCATTTCATTACGTCATTTTGCGTCATGATACCTATATTATTCATACTAGCTCTATATACATACTATGTCCCTTTATCACGCCATGTCGTTTTCATTGCGATAAAAGCTGATCCCGACAGACTTATTCGTAGATACTGGCTAATTCGTAGATTTTCCCCGCATTTAAATGATATTTAATGGTATCCAACTGATATTTAATGACTTGATATATTTAATCATTTCCCTGATTGATTAGAATAATAGTTCATTAGATTTCTATAACATTTCCAATTTCATGAGATTTAATATAATTTAGCAAGGTTCTTGTTGAGTATTCAAAAAGTATATTTTAAGGTTGGTAATTTAGAAAGACTTGCTGTTAATTCTTTCTAAATTGTAGATTTGATTTTGATCATCGGAACTAGGCAAGTAAATGGTTTAACTGCACCTTATTGTTTGCATTGGATTATTTGAAAATGTAAATAACAAGGTTTGTTATTAAATATTTTATGTAATTAAAATCCATTGGAATCACATTAAATGCTTAACTTTTCATCTTGATCCATACTCATTATTATTTGAATTCTATGTTGCCTAATCCACTTTTATTCATTACTAGCTGAATACCTGTTCTTCGCACGGGGAGAGTAAAAAAATCAATAAATCAGTATTGAGAAACACTACGAAATCATGCTCAAAACTGAAAATCATAAACCGATCCAATTAAAGAACTTGGTGGAAGAGCCAGGTAAGTGAGACTTTTAGGGGAATTAATGAATCAGAGAAAATAAAAAAAGTGGTTGTATCAATACAGGTATGTTTAATGTAACAGAACTGTTTTTGCCTTCACTCAAATCTCAACGTAACTAATTACATCAGTTTTTAGCATGCTTGCATGATTTTATATTTCAAATTAGGCGTAAATAAATAAAACCAAAGAAATATTTATCCCGCTTTCTAATAAATTTGTAATAAAATAGTTCTGATGTAACTTTTTTTTAGGTTCTTCCACTAAGTTTTTCAATTTATAAATAAATTTTCTTTATTTAATATTATTTGTTGACCTTTCTGGTGGCTTTGCGTTATTGAATTAGGCAAAACTCGTTTTTTGTAGTTTATCCCATTAGAACAACGATAGGATGTATTTAGTATCTCTTCGCATGATGCTATTGCACAATCACGTAATTTTCTAAGATACATATTCCTTCCAATGACCGTAAAATGCTTATTTCCAAAGTATCAGTATGAAAACTGCTAAGTATTGGTGCTGTCTTAGCAATCACCAAATATATCAATATGATATACCTATATCAGTATATTTGGAACATATTACATAACCCTTCAGCATTTAAGTTTTGCAAAAAATACATT